GATATTTGAAAAATGTAACTGTTTAAATTAACATGTAAAATGACCTAAGGGTATAATAATAATAATAATCATAATAATAATAATAATAATTATTATTATTATTATTATTTTTAAAAAATAAAAATAAAAAAATAATTTAATAAAAGAAATGAAATTAAAAAAATAAAACATATGCGGCTCCCCATAGAGAGAGAGAGAGAGAGAGAGAGAGAGAGAGAGGTGTTTTGGGGAAATCATTCTAAAAAAACGCTAAGTGAAAATATTGTAAATTGTAATGTTTGTATTTTTAGTGCGTGGTTTGGAACAAATTTTTGCTTCAAACTGTTGAATAACCAAACACTTTCTTTAGCATTTTGATCTTTAATTGAGTTATATCATATTTACCAATCGTCCAATAACTAAATGAACCCTGAGCAAAACACCTAAGGATGGTAACCGTTGATTCATTCATTGATCTTGTATATATGTGCATTCATTAAATATATTAGAACCATTTGTAACAAAAATACTTGGTTACTATTTAAAAAAAGTTTAGTAACAATTATAATGAATCTCCTATATTACATTGTATTCATATATTATGAGTTACATATTTAAATAAACAAATTCGACATTAAATTATTTATGTATATATGAACTTCATTCTCATATATAATCTTGCATTGATATACTTTTAAATATTTATTTAATTATAAACATTGGACATTCACTGATCCGCGCAATGCGCGTGTAATACTAGTTTTAAAAATATGATATCATGAGTAAGACACTATTTTCTAATTTTAAAATTTCTTTTCTTAAAAAGTGGGGGTGTTTTTTTAGTTTTTTTTTTTAGATTTTTTTTTTTTTTTTTTTTTTTTTTTTTTTTTTTTTTTTAAGAATAATGATTAAATGAGTTTTAAAACTTTTTATGAAATTGTAAAAATGGACCTTTAAACAAAGGGAATAAAAGAATCTAAATATACACTTGAACTTATACACATTGTTGCATGTAAACATGAAGTACTGTCGTTAGGTGCTCTAAACTCGAGAGTCTTGGTCAAAACCCTAATTATATGGATTCCAGATGAAATTATGAGATTTTACTTTAGTTTAATTAAATTTTGATTATTTAATCAATTAAGACAAATGCATAATACCAGGGTCAATCAGTTGTTCGGAAATGCATATATTAACAGCTGGTGTTGAGTTATTTTTTTTTTCTTTTTTTAAGTACTTTCTCAACTTGTTCAACCTGAAGCTCAAAGAGTGAATACCACCCCCACTAAGATTTGAACTCATAACCTCTCATATGGGAGAACAACTTGGTGCCACTACAATGACTAGGCCACAATGTTATTGGCAGTTGAGGTTGAGTTAATTATTGAAGTAATTCAACTTTTCTTCTCGCAAATTATACCCAAAAGGTTGAGGGTCCGTTTACTAACATGAAATTTTCTCCAATTTTCTAGAAAATTGGAGAATTAAAGAATAGAAAACAAAAAACATGTTTACTAGCACAGTTTTTCATTTTGAAAATTGAAAATAATTTTTTAGTGGAACACTCTTAGAATCTATTTTCTGAAAACAAAATCATCTATCATCTATTTGGTTATATGTCACTATAACCACATTACTGTGATTACATTCAATTATCATCTTCTTTTACTTGTCACCATCTTCTATATGACTTTACTTATTTGAACATAACTTATTTGCTTACACTTTAAAGTTAGACATGACTTACATTATCAACATTAAAAATTAAACTCTATACAATGTTTTAGATTTCGATTGAACTTAATTGATAATTAGTTCAGATATTTTTAGTTATGTTATATTGTAATACATGTTCGGTCCGGATATTGGATATTGAAATCTCACATATATTAGAATTCAAAGTAAAAATTACATATTTATATATATGTCATTCAAATGAATATATCCAAAAAATATTTCAAATATTAGATAAAAATATTAGTATTATTCAAACTAAATTTTAGGTGAACTTAGTATTTTTTTTTTTTTTGAATGCTACTGACTCTATTACATTGTAGTATCTGTTCAAAATCTCATAACCTCCCATATAGGTGAGGTCACTATATGCCATCTGAGCACAAGATGCTTGACATATATTATATTTGTGTATGGTAGAGAATTAAACAAATTTTACCCTTTTTTAGAAAACAAATTTTACCTTATTACTAGAATAGTTAGCTAGCAACATACAATGCAATATTTGGTCCCAATAAGTTTAATTTCTAACAATTTTGATTAAGAAAGTGACATTTCTCCAGTTGTGCGCAAGGCATTTTATTTCATAGTGGTACGGACCAACCAGCATCTGGATAATATGAATTCCTCTGAATACAATCTCTTATTTCTTTTATCATAGTTTTAGCAATTTCTTTTGGAATATCTATAGGGAATGGAGATGGCCGGAGATGGAGATGGAGATGGAGGTGTAGTTCGTGTAGAAACTAATAAAGGGAAAGCAATTATAAGCACAAACAAGACATCAATAATGAACTTATTATAACTCATTTTTTTATTACTTCTGTTTTCTCCTTACAAAGTGGGTTCTCTTAAACGTATACATTTGTGCTTATGTGTGAGTGTGGGTATATATATAATGCAAAAAAAAAAAAAAAAAAAAAAAAAAAAAAAAAAAGAAATACAGACAATGAATTGAACAAGTCCTAATATTAATAAATAACAACATAATAACTGAAATTATTAGCTATTATATGATTCGCCAAACTATTATTAATTGCCTAGTACATTGCTTACAAGCTAAATTGGATTTGTTACGTTACTATAATACATTAATTAATTTGTACTAATTAATGGAAATGTGTCGCATAGATAGATTCATCGTGTAATGAGATTACCCAAGTTTTAGATTTGCGTTGTTGTGTATATGATGAGACAATCTTAGTTGTATTATTAACTCTTTATCTTACAAGCATCTATTGATATTTGGTAGTGGATGGTAATTTTTTCCCTACATGTTTCATGCGTTGTGAGATGTGTGTCGTAGGTTATCATGTGAAAGTATTGAACAAAATATTAATATTTATTATGTTTGTATAAAATACTTGGTAAATAAATATATATAACATATTTTGTATTATAACTTTGATATTTAATTACAAGATAATGTAAAAAGAAGACAATGGACAATATAGTGAATATAATAAATTAATAAATTTGAAGGTAATGAATCTTTGAATTGTAGAAAATAAAGGTAATATAACTAATGAAATTATATCTTTTTTTTTTAAATTTTTTTTATAATGAATAATTTTTTTAAATAGAGGCATTATAGACATCTAATTCTAAATTAATTAAATGCATATATATTATTTTTTGTTGTAGCTACTACTTTATTTAATTTAATAAGAGTAATAAAGTGACGTACATACTTTTTATCAACAATAATGAAACCATTGATTTTTTTTTTTTAATTTACATTCGTTGTTGAGATAAATTATTTTGAGAGTTTGTCAATGACAATTGTTACAATTTCTGTCAATAGAGGATGACACTACTGGAAATTCTGGAATTTCCGACCACCTGAAAGTGATCTTAAATCAAGTCGAAAGCCTTGTTCCGACCACTTTTGGTATCCGGAAAAACCTTTGTTGCTATTTCCGACCACTTTTTGGTATTAATTTGATTCAAGATCACTTTCAGGTGGTCGGAAATTCTATAATTTCCAGTAGTGTGATAATAAATAATTCAAAATATATAGTTACAATATATATTGTTATAATGATATAGTAAAATTAACTACTTACAAATTTCTTTAGAAGTTTTTATGCATTGATAAAATTCTGATATGTAAACTTGTTCACTTGGAGTCAGTGGGATGTCAACATTATCAATTTGTTAGAAAATGGTCCTACCGTTTCAGAGTCCAGGTGTAATTGTATTTATGATAAAAAAAAAAAATTATAGTTAGGTCGCGCATGCCTGACAATGATGTAAGAACAATTTTGCCCGATAAAAAAAATAATAGTATAATGTTTTTAAAGTAATGTACAATTGTACCATTATAAAAATATATATGAAAAGTATTAATACCATAATGACCTAAATCATACCAATAATGTAAAAGTATAATTGAAATATTAAGTTTTGTTCTAATCTAAATAATCAAAAGAAGATTAATTAAACACAAAAAAAAAAAAAAAAAAAAAAAACCTAACTTAAATTTAATTTTTTTTTAAATGCATAATGATTTTTAAAGTTCTTGATTTATAATCTTTGATGTTTAACTTTGAATGTTATGTATTTATCTGGACTAATTATTTGAACAAAGTTTATGTTAAATTTTATATTATATATTTTTTAAATATATTTTAACATATTCGTAGTATATGTTTAACAATTATGTCAACTCTAATTGGGATGGGGTTCGAACCTAAGACCTTTCTTATAGAAATTAATGAGTAAGTTAAAAATAATAAATAGTTAACAGAATATTCCGTTACTAAAGTTTATACTAACAGAATTTAGGTTATTTAAGGGAAGAAAATAAAATAATAGAGGGTAAATAAGGGAAATTATTAAAAAAAAATACTGAAATCGAAATAATATGAACCATTCATTTTAAGAAACAATACTACCGACATTTTTTTTTTGTTCCAGTTAAGGGCCTAACATATTTGGCCCTTATTAGAATTGTTTTTTTTGTTCCAGTTAAGGGCCTAACATTATTGGCCCTTATCTCTATCTCTATATATATTAAAGCAAAACAATAGGAGCAAAAAGTTCCCGCCCAACATGAACGACGCCGTTTTGGGCAAACACTATGAATTTATTATTTTTGCTTCGGAAAACCAAAGGACTGCGCAGTATACTAGCTCCATGTATATAGGAAACCTAATTTGTTCAATATATCTACCCAAATCATTCTCCCATCCAATGGGATTAGAGAATGTATTTAAGGTAATCACTATGAATTTATTTTTTTTGTTTCGGAAAACCAATCGACTGCGCACTATACTAGCTCCATGTATATAGGAAACCTAATTTTTTCAATATATCTACCCAAATCATTCTCTCATCCAATGGGATTAGAGAATGTATTTAAGGTAATCAATTGTTCATATCGGACATTGAGCCCACTAACCCATACCTATTCTCTAGGTATTTATTGATCAGGATGGTTACGATCAATAACGAAGGTCATCAGACCTTATATATACAACGCATGTACAACTATTAATACAAAATACAATCTCCCTCTACAAAGCCTCTCTGATTCTTCTTGAATAGCAAAAAATGTTTGTTCTTGCTAGCCAGATATCTCCCATGAATACCAGGCAGGCTCTTAAGCTTCGGGTGGTGCGAGCATATAAGATCCCTGAAAGAACTGATACTTCGAAGTTTAGGTCAAAAGAGGTTGTTTTCCATGATGAAGAGGTATGTATTCTTTAAATCTAGATATACAGTTTATTCAATTCTACGGTTCGTTTTTTTACTACAAATTTAGACCCAGTACATATTTTTCTACATATTCCCATATTTTATAGTCCCTTTCTTTGTTATTTACACATACATAGGGGTCCTTCTTGCACGCTCATATACCCAAAGAGTACGTGGATAAGTACCTTAACAGTTTTGTGGAAGGTTCAGTGTGTGCTATCAAAAATTTTTGTGTTATCACAAATTTTTACTCCTACAAAATTAGCCCACAGAAGTACATGATCAAATTTAACTATCAGACTGTTGTTAAGGATTTAAAGCATGTTAAGTTTCCTATGAAAATGTATCGGCTCAAGACCTTCAGAGAGATCAAGTCTAACGAAGGCCTGGATGAGAAAAGCTTATTTGGTAATCAGTATTGAAGATACTGAGTAATACTGTGATCCAGTGCCTATGATTTTGAATATATTTTACACTTGGCTTTGTTTCTAATATGTTTCTAATCATTTTCAGTGGAATACAACTAATGTGTACTTTGTGGGATGAGCATGTGAGCAAGATTGAGGCATTCTACAATTCTACTACACAAGAACCACTGTTGGTCCTGATCCAGTTTTGCAGGGCAAGGGTGTGCCTAAAAAGTAAGTACAGTAAATCGTATAACTTCTCCTATCGACTATCTACTATCTTATTAACCAAGAAGCTTTTCTAATCTCTATATACAATGTTCTTCTTAAAGGTGGTGATGTAAAGATTTGTAGCTCCTATGATGTAACACAGCTGCTATTCAACCAAGAATCTCCCCCATTTGAAGAGTTCAGGAAAAGGTACCCTGAAATTTTTTTGTTCTACATGAAGTTTTACAACTATTATTGTTGCTCATTTTAGGTTATGTTTTTCCAGTATTTGCCAAGAACAGACTCCCATGCGCAGTATAATTTCCCAGTCAAGTTTTCAAGAATGTAGCTCATATTCTGTTTCCCTAGGAGCTGATATGGAAGTTCGTACTATCAATGACATCTACAGGGATAAGGAGGTAATACTGGGTTTAACCAACATAGATCCTATTCATTTTATTTTACCATACAATTCCTTCTAAGGTTGACAGATCATAGCATTATGCACTTAAAAATATAATTCATATGGAAATATAATAGAGTTGTGAGCAACTGTATACTGCTGTGTTATACCTTTATATGCACTGAATATGATTTCAGTCCCTTTTGAAGTTCTGCTGACATGGTGCACACTGTATCCCACTTCTTGGGATATATACCTGTCTTAGAAATTTATTCAATAGTCAGAAACTGCCTAGGGTATACCTAATCTGTATTATGTTGTGATATTAACTCAATTAGGATTTTAAAACAATACCTATGTGGACTCTTTTCATTTCAATCAGCCTTTCAGTTCTGCTCAAAGTTGTAGACTAGGTCCATCTTCTTGGCTTTTTAACCTGTATTTTACCATAAGAATTGTATGGAATAATAGTAAGACAATGTGGTCTATAACATTATAGCTTTAATGCATAAATATTAACAATAATCTGACTACAAACTATCCCTCCACCACTAAGTACTTATCTCTTTCAGCTATGGTGTTAATTGTTGATAGTCCACTAATTGTTGATATTCCACCAGTGAGCAGTCCACTAATTTGCTTTCAGGTCTTGTGTTTTTGTCCACATACCTGCACAATCAAACACATATTCATGGGTTAATTAGTGTTATAGACAAAATGGTCTTCACCTGGATACTATAAAAATAAGTACTCATATACTGATTTGGTTAACGTTTTAAAGTGGACTAACATTCTTTCATATGATGCAGTTTGGCGATTTTTGGGTGGCAGCTAGGATTGTATTCATTGATGATCCAGAGTGGTACTATGCTTCCTGTAGAACAAAGGGGTGCAACAAAAAACTGAAACTCAAAGGAAAGTGGCTATGGTGTAGTACATGTGATCGAAATTGGGGTGACGGGACACTCAGGTACAGAATTAAGGTTAGGGTTGTGGACTTGGATGGCAATGCTCCTTTCCTTCTATGGGACCGGGAGTGCCTCGATCTACTTGGAATCAGCGCAGATGATCTGAAGGATAACCATACTAAGGTACAAATACAAAACTATAAGATTATTGAAACAGAGAAGTTTTGTTTTAAAATTATATATTCCATCAAGATGAATAGAAACTAAACATTATATGGTATATAGTATAATTAAAATCTATACTAACTCTTGATGTAGGGAAGGAAGGGGCTGCCTAAGGAGCTCGAGACTCTCATTGGACTGAATATCTTATTTAGAATTGCTGTTCGCAAGGAACAGTTCCAGAATTATCTCAATGCTTTCCCTGTTATGAGGATCATCACTGATGAAAAGATTGTACAGAAGCATGCACCCGAACTAATAGGAGTTAGGGACAGGGATCTCAGTTCAAAGCTCGAGGTGGAGCTGACAGATGAGGACCTATGGGATCTAGAGGTATACCTGGGGTTCAAGTGTAACATTTTGTACGAATTACTGTAGAATTTATTACTATTGAGTATATCCATACACTTTGAACTTCTTATTTTTTAGGAAGCAGACCAAGCAAATGAAGCTGAAAGTCCACTCCAAGTTGTTGCACAGAGGCTGGATGCAGAGAATGGTGTTGAGAATGGAACAGTCAAGAGATCACTAATCGATGAATTTTCAAGCACTCAAAGTTCAAAAAAAACCAAGGAATGTGTGGTCAAGATTGAGAAGGACTCAGATTTGTAATGACTTTAATGATTGACAATGTGCTCTATTGGTCTCTTTTTTTTCACAATGGATTTTATGTTGACAGTTTTTGGGTTACACTCAAACAGCTAGACTGAAACTTTCAATCATTTAGGATTATATTCCTAAATAATTGTTTTTTATGAATGCTCACAATTTGTTACTAGGTCATGTTATGTGTACTGGATTTGTTATAGTCCTTTTGCAGATTTTTTTTGGCAGTGAGAGATGCTACAACGAAGGAACAAGTTTAGAGATGGTGGAAAAAATATCTGAAGAGATGGCTGTCGCGGAAGAACAAGATGAAGAATATGGCATAGATAAGACAAAAGAGGAGGAAGATGAAGATAACATCTAGCAAACACACCATTGAAATAATTACTTGAAAGGGATGTTTGAAGGACTACTTTTTAATGTAATAAGTGAACTGGAAGTTATTTATCGTAGATTAATGTAATGTCATTTTTTTTGTTACTAGAGATTTTATAAGATCTATTCTAAGCTCCAACTAATAATTCTAATCATACATTTTCTATGCCAAATTATAAATTCACCTACATTAAAGAGTATGTCAAGCAAGTTCTCATTGTCACCCAAAATTAAATCCACTAATAATGTAAACAGCTTATACCATTGTAATATTCTATATAAACCATCAAAAGTAATTAGTACTCTAACTTGAAAATTTTAATGTAGAATTAAAACATATCACTATCAATCCTTGGTTGCTACTCAACACCTTTAGAGGTTTGGTAAAATATAAGTCATTAGAAGATGTTTAAAGCAAGGCTTAAACTTATTCTGTTAATGAATACATAAATTGGCAATCCAATTGCGTATAAATAGTTCTGATTATGTACTTACCAGCCTCTGTCATCTTTAAGCTCACTTCAAAGTCCTTTGATGAAAACTTCTCGGCCCTTTATTCAACATTTGCTTGATACCATCCTAACTGCACTTTAAAAAACAAGTTGTTGATTAAAAATAGCAATGGATTGCTAAATCAGTAGTCAAATTCTAACAAATGGATTTATATTGGAAAGATAGTTATGGACTTGGTGCTGATTAGTGGATTACCCTTTCATTTCACAGACTTTGATATTACAACGCTTCCTTAATTAATGTTAGCTGGTAACGTTGATGTAACCGATTAGCTGGATTTGCCAAAAACAGAATTAGCTGGGTAACTCTTTATAAACAGTGTCTAATGAATGAACACACAAAAGGATCTGCAAGTTGGTAATAACATAATATCAGACATTGGTAACCCGAAAAAAACTTATCTGTCAGCTGTGCGTATTAACCGTTCCTATGATATTCTTTACATCCTCTTTTTTATACGATACTAAAACACCTATAGTGTAGTACTGAATGTCTTTCATTCCCTGCAATTGTAGAATTTTATTAATTGTATTCAAATCATATAAACATCATATTATTTACGAATAGATAGACAATATTCTAATCATAGTAAGCCTAATTAGATTAAACCAATTTTATAAATGTAAAACTTATCTTAGATACAAGCGTAGCAACCTCTTTTGTACAATTCCCATTATGTTCTAGAAACAGATCCAACATCTATTTTTTCTGTGCTCTATTCAACAGAGGTTCATACAATTAAGAGTTGCTTTTGATATCAAACTCCAAGCAACTTATTTTCATCCAAATTTTAGTCTCTTAATCCCAAGATTCTACAGTGATTGTGACCTGCAAAACAACATATATTAGATAAATAAGGTTCATTATTCGAATCCAAAAAAAGTTCAGAAATACAGTTTAGTAGGGAAAAACAAGTAGTAAGAATATCAATCAGCTAATATATTAATGGCACATTACATTAACTATCTGATCAAAACCTTTTAGTATTCCAAAAGCAATTATAATTGACATTTTCCAAGGTTGTCTGCAAATATTAATGGACTAAGTTGCAGCTATATATTTAACAACCACATATTATAAACCTCTGTTAAAACCACATCTACAGAAATCCCTAACTTGGCAATTCATCTCCCCTAGAATACATGAGGAAACTTACATCTTCAACCACCATTGGTTCGAAGCGCAAGCATCCAAGCAACAACCAAGGTAAATCTAAGCACTCTTTTTGCAGTTATACTATTCTGTCTTAGTTTATACAAAAACTATACGATTTTTGTAAACAATACTACAGATATTAAAAACGATTAAGGAAGCTGAAAAGAATTAGGTTTAGAAATCAAAACCCACTTTTTCTTCATCCCAACATTCACCTGACAAATATTATAGTATCTTTTAAAATAAATATGCAAACAACAAATTCAAAGAAAAAATACACACACAAAAATACAGGTTAAAACTTCGAATCCCCCAAGATAGATAGATACTTTGTTTAAAATCCATTTTTTTCTAAGATTACAGATGCATGCGATTAACAATGAAGGATTTCATCATATCTACACTTTAATGGGACTTAGTAGTTAAACAAAGCCTCAACAGTTAGGTTTCACGGTATCTACTCTAATTGTGCATAATTGTTTCATAGAAATGGAATTAACTGAGCGATATTGTAGATAACTTACCGGAATAGGAAATTCATCTAAGAATTTGTAGTAGTTTGCGCTAGATCGTATAGATCCCCACGGACTGGGGTTTGTAGAAATCAAAAATTGACAGAGGATACCAACATCAACGCTGAGATATTAACGTAAAGCCCAGGTAAATCTTTAATTTCGCATGGTCTTCGGGTAGAATTTCTGGAGATGTTGTTCAAACAACTCCAGAGTGAAGAACATGAGCAATGGGAGTGCATCTACGCAATGAGAGACAGAGAGAGTAGTGATGTTGGTGGAAATGCGGGTGCTTAGAACCGGTAGTGCGGTAGTGGTGTCCGTATGTTTGTATTAATATTATTATTATTAATCTGAATATTATTATTATTATTATTATAATTAATATTAATATTAATTAGGCAGTATAGTTAACACTGCCCAGAAATTGTGGATTTTCTAATTGTTATTATTAATATTATAAATTATAAATATTATTAGGTTTTTTAATATTAGTGCAATTTTTATAATAGTATGTTATTATATTAATTTGTTATTATTGCGATTTGTGTCCATCAAATGTTTATAAACTCTAGACATTTAAAGTAAATCCATCCTTTACAAACTATCATTTAAGGAGTAAATTCGGAATCTGTATGAATCAAAAAAATTGTGATACCAAATATACAATATATATATAATTATATCATTGTTTTTTTTTTTTTTACAGAGAATGATAATCGAGGGGTCAGTGATGAATCGTACATGTCGTCCGTTGAATTCGGCAACAATACACACAATCGTACACCCCTACGTGGTGTTTTCCAAAGTTCGTTAAGTACGCTTTTAAGTATTGTGACAAATGGTAAGAGTGTTCTATACGATTGTGCAAGATTATAATTAATTGTTGCTAACATGTTTTTAATGTGAAATTGACAGCTTCAAGCGCAATTCGGACAACAATTCGTAATTCCCCTTTGCAAGATTCGGGTAGCAGAACACCATTAAGCAACATATCCAATAGTACGAACCTAAACACACATTTTTATTGTACCATATTTTAAAAAATGTGATAATTAACATTCTAACAAGTGTTATGTACGACTCTTATATAATTAAAGGAAATTCCGCAAGGTTTGACCATGAGCGTGAAAGAGCACCTATTACCCGGCGCCACAATCATTCATTCGACTTAAATAAAACCCCAGACTCAGAACTAGGTATAAAAATAGTATCCAATGATACCTTTTTTTGGAATTTAGGACCCTGGTGTCATTTACATGTTCTAATGATTAATAATAATCGCATCAACCACTAATGTTGTATATCATGAAGTTTTCAATAATTTGTAATTTTGTAATATATTGTTTTTATATTGACAACATCTTTGAACTATTAGTAAGACACAATTTGATTACGTGTCGAAATTGTATTTCCCAATATATAACACAAATCTTAACATAAAACACGCACAACTAAAAATACTTAAATAACATCCCGTGCATCGCACGGGTCAAATACTAGTTAGAATTGTATTGTATTGTATGTAGATGTAGATGTAGATATAGTAGAAGTGAAATAGGTTACTAATTATGCCAACTTTAATTGGGATGATGTTCGAACCTAAGACCTTTCTTATTGAAATCAACGAGTGAGTTAACGGTGAACTAACAGAAATTAACGGAAAAGATAATATTTAACGGGAAAGTTAACGGATAATCATATAATTAAGGATAAATTAGGAAATGTCAAGGAAAAATTAAAATCTGATCAATCTGGGCCATTCATTTGATTAAAAAATGTGATTGTCATTTTTCTACCCATTAGATAGGTCTAACTCTCTTTGGCTCTTATTAGTATACTAGTTTTTTACGCGCATTGCGCGATTGGGATAATGCCCAATGTTTTTTTTTTTTAAATAAGTACTTTAAAGTATATTAAGGCAAGATTATATTGAAATTGTTCATGCATAGATAATTGAAGGTTGAATTTGCGTATTTAAATATGTAATTCTTCTCCCAAAGGTTGAGTCCCCAACCCCAAGGGCCCCCCACACTCCGACCCGACAGAGCATTGTGGAAAGTTGTAAATCACGGTGACTCAATGGTTCAGCAGACATGACCAAATGCCGGTGCGAACAAGGAATCTGCCCAATTTGGACATAATTCCCGCACTGCCGCCACCGAGGTTCAAACCTTGGTCTCTTCTCCCAAATACTGCCCACTAAACCATTGAGCTAAGCCCGTGCGGGTTAAATAGGTAATTCTACGTTTACAAATGCAAGATAATATAGTCAAGATTGATTATAATTGTCAATAAAATAATTGTATAGGTATGGTTGAAACCAAATACGGGACATAAGGGAGAACAAATAAAAATTAGGGTATAAAATATTAAATATATACTAATATTGTTTGAGGAGATTTCGACATTAGGATTTGTGGTTAAGTTCTATTAAGACTTTAATATTAGAATTAGATTAATGGTGTAGTTATAATTCTATATTAGACTTTAATATTAGAATTAGACTAACGGTGAATTAACGGTATTTAACGGAAAAGTTAAATGGATAATCATATAATTAAGGATAAATTAGAAAAACTTTAAAAAAAAAATTAAAACCTGAACAATCTGTATTCATTTGATTTAATAATTTGGCGGCCAATTTTTCTACCCAATGTTAATAATTAAATAAATTCGTTGGTCAAATTCGCTAATATAATCCGCTAACTGCTGATTGTCAAACAAGGACATTGCAAAGTAGTTCTCACTTCAATTTGTTGTGTGATTTGAATACTCTCTTTGTCACAAAATCTCTCAAGTAGTTATATAGCATTATTTTGTATTATAACTTTGATATTTAATTAGAAAAATAGTGCACAAAAAAAATAATAGACAATGCAGTGAATATAATCAATTGATGAATTTGAATGTAAAAATTTTTACATTTGAAAAATATAAAGACAATATAACTAATGAAAATATTTCTCTTAATTAATTTATTGATAATAAATAATTTTTTTCACTGAATTAAGACATTGTAAGGACAATGTAGCGAATATAATCAATTAATAAATTTGAATATAAAGAATTTTTATATTGTAGAAAAATAAAGACAATATAACTAATACAATTATTTCTCTTATTTAATTTATTGATAATGAATAATTTTTTTTTGAATAAAGACATTGTGGACACATAATTCTAAATTAAAGAAATGCATATCTATAATTTTTTGTTGTAGCTACTAAATTATTATTTATATAATTTAATAAGAGTAAAATAGAGTACTAATTATGCCAACTTTGATTGGGATGAGGTTCGAACCTAAGACCTTTTTTTGTTTTTATTGAAATCAATGAGTAAGTTAACGGTGAACTAACGGCAATTCTTAAAATTTTAACGGAATTAGTAACGGTGTGTGGGTATTTTAGGAAATTTTAGTGTAAAATTTAAATCTTATCAATCTTTTAATCAATCTAAGCCATTCATTTGATTAAAATCTATGACCGCCATTTTTTCTACCCATTATAGGCCTAACTCTCTTGGGCTCTTATTAGTATAGTAGATAGTAGATAGTAGATATACTAGTTCTTTTATGCGCTTTGCGCGAATGGAATAATGCCCAATAATTATTTTTAAATAAGTATTTTAAAGTATATCAATGCAATATTATTGAAGATGTTCATGCATAGGTAAATAAATATTGAATTTGTTTATTTAAATCGGTAATTTAAAGTATATAAATGCAAGATAATATATAAGAGATTGATTATATTGTCACTAAAATAAATATTTGCAACTTTGTAATATTTATTATATTTGTATAAAATACTTTGTAAATAAATATATATAACATATTTTGTATTATAACTTTGATATTTAATTACAAGATAATGTGTAAAAAAGAAGACAATGGACAATGTAGTGAATATAATTAATTAATAAATTTGAAGGTAATGAATCTTTGAATTGTAGAAAATAAAGATAACATAACTAATGAAATTATATCTCTTTTAAATTTTTTATAATGAATATTTTTTAAAAAAATAAAGGCATTATAGACATCTAATTCTAAATTAATTAA